GTTCCATTTTGGAAAGTTTGGTGATATTGTTTTTGTTTGTGTTGTGGGGTTTTTTTATGTGGAAAAATATTGTGTAGAAATAAGGCAGAAATATTTCTCCATATAGTTGTGGTTAGAAAGTATGAGATGAAACAAGACTGCAAAAACTTTTGAGAAGAATCACACCTTTTACATGTTGTTTCACGTATATTTAAGGTGACTGTGAAGCAGATCTGCAAAAGGGGGAAAGCACAGTCATGACAGTTTTTAAATTCAATGGAAGGGTTTAAGAAAATTATTTTAAAATTTCTTGGGTAGGTGGGGGATGCTAAACATGTAATTTTGTGTGAAATTCACTCCTTGTCAATCCACAGCATAAGAATACTTAAGGTGCAAGTCTATAATTATCCTTGTTAGGCTCTACAAATTACAACAAATGAATTTTTGAACTAGTCCACGGATTGTTCATTGTTCTACAGGGGGCAGCACTTAGGCCATGGTTATTTGCAGAAAAATGTGGCAAAAATCATCGCGGCCCACTGCAACTGCATTGCTGGCCTCGGAGAGGCTGGCACTCATGTCTGTGCTTTGATGTTTTATATTGACACAAAGGTGCATACTACAGATAGCAAAACAGTAACACAGGAACCAGCTTGCTGGAAGCTTCCATCAGCCGTAGAGGAAGTGCAGAACTTGTCCATAGCTCAAATTGATTTCACATCAGCCAAAACCAAGAAGGGAAAGAATGATATGTTGGTTGATGATGGTTTGATGCCAACATAGCATTCCACAGCATAAGACAGTACCTGATCCTACAGATGTTGAACTCCAGACCTTCTTCTCACAGATGAATGCAACAGGAACTAAGCCAGAATTCCTAAGCATTGTACTGGAACACTGCCACCAATTCAAAACATCCCACCCTGACACCATTCTTCCAAGCAGTGATCTCTTTTTCATCTGGCCACCTTACTGTATTAAAAATAAAGAGTGTCTGTAAGAATCCAGAACCAACCTTCTCAATCACTCATTCAATCTGTGTTCTATCTGGAGTAATGCAGCTTTTCTACAGCAGCCTCCAAGTGGGGATGTTTACGTGAGACAGAGGAACAGCAAGCGTATGAGGAAAGAATGAGAGAAATACACCAAAATTTTGAAGTTAACCTTAACGCTGGGTCTTTTTTCTGAAAGCCGACTCTGAGAATTCCAGCCTCGCTTGGCCACAAAGGCCACCTGTCAAACCCCAAATTCTTGGTTTGTGGCCCTGCCTGCTCTGCACGCTTTGATTTACACAGTGAAAAGGCTCATTGTTTGGTGGCATGTGGCTCTACTCACGCTTCCACATTCCCATTGCCTCTTTTCAAAGTGGCACCTATTGTGAAGCTGGTGATAATGATGCAAATTCATTTGCCTTTTCATTTCTTGGCAGCGCACAAAGGCCAATCACTATATATCTACAAGAGCCAGGGTATGCCTTCTTTCACCGTGTTCGCTCGAGCGTGGGCTGAGAATAATAGCTGAAAAGCGGGTTGAGGGATCTCAATTTTTATGGCATCTCTCACCGCTTCCCGATGAGAAGGGGTTAAGGACTTTGGCTTTGTAATTAACACAAATTCTCCACACATTGGGGCTTCCCCAGATGGACGTATTTCTTATTATTGCTGTGAGGAGGGGGTCCTAGAAATGAAATATCCATTTTATGCTTGCGACGCTCAAGTCGGTGAATATGCATCCCTTAAATATACATGCCTTGTGGTAAATGGTAAGGAGGTCACTCCTGATAGTAAACAAGCATACATGTATCAGATTCAAACACACATACATGCCCTGTTGACTATGCTGACTACGTGTTGTGGACCAGTGTTGTATCGGAGACCTTGATATCCGAGACCAAGACCAAAACCCGAGACTTACTCCTTCAAGACCAAGACCTGGACTTCGAGCACGAGACTTTTGCAGGTCGAGACCGAGACCACGACATCCGAGAACGAGACCAACCATAAACCAACATTTATTTTTTACCAAAAGGTAAATAGGGACAAACAGATGGCAGTACAATTAAGAAATAAAATGAAAACATTAGTATAAACACACACGCACAAATAGGTCAAATATATTTGTCTCAGTTCTTTTATCAGTGATACTGCTCTACTTTTACCCTGACCTGGTCATTTTAAACCCGAGTGTCCCAAATGATATGATGTGAACATTAAAACAAATGTCCTAAAACTGTTTTTTGTAAGCAAAACACTGAAAAACAAATATCCAAAAAAGATGTACCCAAACGAAACTACTAAAACAACACGTACCACTTACAAGACTGAATGAAAGCATTTTCACACGTGCACACAATTTGCAGTGTGCGCGCACACACACAGACTAGTTCTCGTCCCGGCCCTACATTCAGCAGGAGACTACGTAGGGAATGGAAACCAGTCTAGTGTGCGAATTCCGCTACTCACAGCCTCATCTCCATGGTGTCAAGCAGCATGGCTACTCTGAATTGGAAATAAAGTAACAACTTAGGACAAGGTTGCATCATGCTGCATTGACTAGTCTTCATTCCAGCATCGATTTCATTGTTTATTGCAAAAGATTTGAACATTTCTGTGTTGCATTTATATCAGTGATTGAAGAGTTGACTCGAGCAGAGGTAATTTTGCCTTATGCGAACGCATGCATGCGTGGTAGCTAGATGCGCATTTTGTTTTGGTCTTGACTGGTCTCCAGTGGGAAACCCAAGACTATGGCATCCAAGACCGAGACCTAGACCGGCGCTTTCGAGACAGTTACCAGCCCTCCCAAGACCGAGACTCTGACAGGTGAGACCGAGACTGCAAAAAAAGGTCTTGAGACAGTCTCGAGACCGAGACCAGGTCTCGAGACCCACAACACTGTTGTGGACAAATACAGTTGTTCACATTGAGCGAATTGAACCAGATGCAAACATGTGGGATGAACTTCTTGAAAAATGCCGTGAATTTTTCTACAAAACAGTGCTACCAGAATTAACGGGCAAATTTTACGCCCAGGTCCAATCTGTTCAAGATAAGCCAGGTATGCACTGCTACAAAGGATAACTGCAGAAGGTGGACAAGATGATCTCACAGAATAGTCAAGGATGTAATATCACCATAGTTGCCTCCAAATAAAGAAACTGCCAGAAAGGAAATGGTTCTACCCAGAGTGTCGTAAAGTACCAAGGAAAAGGGAAGAATAGAATTTAGATTGTAACTATCAGTTCTGCTTTGTAAGGAAAGTTGCTGCCCGGTTTCACTCTTAGATATTCAGTCAGTTTCACACTTTTCTGAAGCAAAAAAGAAAAACACTGGTTGAAAGAAAAATCCTATGTTCCTCATTGGGACTTGAACCGGACACCTCACCCCCTGGGTAGATCTCTACCACTTGAGCTAAGCAGTACAGTAGTATATTTTCTCAGGTTTTCCCTGTGAACCAAATTTTTGTCTTGATGTTGCATGGATGCACAACCAAGTAGAGTAATGAACGCAACATTTGGTATGGTAACCGTTTCATTTTCACCATCCCATGTTCTGTCGTTTCATTCTAAAAAGTGGCTTTTCATAAACTGTGGATATCCATAGTACATGAGGGAAATTTTCTATACCTCATAAACTGTAGAACTACAGGAAAACAAGAAGAAATGGATATGTTGACGTGCAGTATTCATCTAAACACATGTATCTGGTGCCAAACTGCAGTACAGCCTTGAGTTTTTGGACCTCCTGTCACAAGATTTAATGCCCCACACAGAACGACTAATGGATGTGCTTCACCTCACGTGTACAAATGATCAGTGCATGAGGCATTCTCTTTCAAAAAACTTTTCTTGAGAAATGGAAACACTTTGTATTCATATTTATACATGACATACCAGATTTCTGTACTTTTGCATAAATTGGTACTGAAAAAACATCTAAAAAAAAGATCTTCAATGACACCTGTACGAGGTACCCCTTTCTGGGATAACAAAAATCCATTCAGTCAAATGGTTCATTAATGGGCACGTGCTTGTGAGAAAATAAGACACAACTGTGATTTTGTCCAGAAGTGTAACATTACCATCCTTGGAAATGACAAAATCCATAGGAATTGTGCTGTGCAGGATAGCATGTTTCTGGCACAGATGTCCTATAACCCGCTCTATATGAATTCTCGAGTTAGCTATTCTGCATGGGTATTGAACTTGCTCTCAAGACAGTCGCAGCCCATCTCTTCTAAATGAAGGGATTAAGGGATTAGAAGCTCAGCACCCGTCATTCAAACACTACCTGCAATGTCAAACCCCTTGTCTGCCATCACAACATCCCCTGCATCCAATTTGTGAAGGAAAGATGAGTGTTAAAGCATTTGTCACTTGCTCTTCTGCCCCAACCTTGTGATAAATAAGATATGACTCCTTGAGGGGTGATGCCGATTAAAGTATTTTACAATGTTGTTGCTTTTTTATGACAACCATATTGCCTGATGAAAAAAAAAAAAAGAACCTGGATAGGAATGTACACGTACTCATTGAAAGAAAGAAGCAAAAAAGGTACATAACAAGTTAAAGGAGCTCTACGAAGGTAGCCTCTGCAACATCAAACTCAAGAGGATGCAATACATTTATCATTAAAAAAATTGCAAATTTACACATCAGCATTAAGGTGTGGATCCAGATTCATCAACACCACTTAAGAAATTTCATCAGAAGTAATGAATTGTTAGAATACCAAACCACAAAAATTGGAGTACAAATACTTTTCATGAACAGGTTAGTGTAGTGTTTCTTTCCTCACCTTCCACTTTTGTGGTCTAGGTTCAAATCCGGCTCATTCCACACGTGGAGTGGGTTTTCAGTCCCTACTCAAGTTCAAGGGTTTTCACCCCACCTCTAAACTGAACATTTCTTCATTGTCTTCTTGCCTCATTATCATGCTGTAATTGGCCCTAAATGAGCTATTGGATGAACACATAGAAATAAAATCCACGTAATAAGAGCAATGATTAAATGCAAACTATACCTCAATAACTGAACACAGTTGGTCTCCCGTTGACAAAGCAGGAACGTGGATGTGTGTGTTGAATATTGAAACCATCTCCATTTGCTGGAGAACTTCCTTCTGACTAGTGGTACCAATTATTAAGAGTTTTCTTCCCTGCAAACAGATGGAAAATATATTTTTAAGGCAATGGGTCTCAAAGTAAGCTTGGTAATCAAGGAAAATGAAACAATGGAAATATAAGAGCACATGTACATAGCCCATTACTATGAAAATTCAGCTATGAATCCACAACTTTCTTTTCAAAAAGTGTCAACGTGTAGAGAGACCAAAGACCTTCAGTCTAACCCTCCCAGATCCTTCTAAATCCTCTCTCAGGGTTTGCCATATTTTGGAGGATTGTACATGTAGAGCCACTACTACAAAAGGATTATACCGACCAGCAACATAATGAAATCATACTTTGTTTACATGTGTGCTTTCCTACTGCTTGTATCATACTACTAAAAACCATTACTGTTCCCTTTATTCCCATTGTTTGAACCTTTTCTTGACATGTCCCACAAGATCTGCGCATGAAACCAACAAAGCCTTGTGTTCAGGTCCTCAGGGTTGTTATCCCAGATAAACCTTTGATCAAGTCCTCACGCTTTTGTTCTTCCTTGTTCAGTTGAACTCTCATACCCCAAAGCATTTTACCTGAGGACTGACTTTCAGAGTTCCATTGTTCCCACCATGGAGCTATTAAACACAAGGAGTAAGAACAAAGTCCCTACAGACCGTAATCTGATTAACTGCTCCGGTCAGCTCCACAGGCAAGGTGCGGTTACCGGCCCCAGTGTTGAAGACCCAAGGCATTCTTTGTACACAGTGATCGCCACTGCCAGGTAGCTGGTAACCCACACACTCGCCATGTTTCGCTGCAGCATACTGGAGTAAATAAATGGTGGAAAAGATGCACGGAGAGGATGCGCAGTTCTCTTCTGTAGTCCTCAGGAGTCGGTGAGTGATCTCCACAGATGCGCCCGAAAATTCCAAATCAGCGGTGGTTATTTGGTAAAAGTCGGACTTTTTAAAATTCAGTTATGACATTTTGCGATTCCGGTGGTAGAGAACAAATACCCAAAATATGAACTGTGATATTTATTTCGTAAGTCGCAATCCTAGTGGTTCCTACAGTTAAAACAAGGCGGAAACATGCCGCAGGAATGCGGCATGTCGACAACATGGTGAGGTTTCATGCCGAGACAGTTGTGGACAATGACAGAAACTACAACAAATCTTCCCAATTTTTTTTTTTATTTTCCTCTGGACTAGATACATTCGCTCAGTTTTCTTGTGCGTATTTTTTGGAGAGTTTGTATTAGTTAGTAATTTTGTTTATTATTAAAAGAGACGTTTTGGGGATGTAAAGACGTAACCATACTTTCATTGTCATTGGAATATCAGAACAATCACTACATTTATCGAAGTTTAAGTCTCCGATGACGATGGTTTCCGTCTCAAGGCGGCCATGTTAAACATGCGGAAGTGTTAGAGACACGCATGCGTGGTACCCACGATCCTTTGCAAATGCAACTCCGAGCATTCTTTACAGCCCGCCAACGGCACGTAATTTGTTTTGTCCTTGCAGCATGTGCAGGGCTTGCGGTGGCCATCATTGACCCTTTTCATCTCTGTATGTGCTGACTCCTAGTGTTTAATAGCTCCATGTTCTCACGTTTCCCTCCATCTACGGTGACACCAAATCAGATTTGTACGTGAACACAAACCATACATGGTGCTAGTAAGGATGTTTCATTCAATGTTTGTTTTTGGGTCTGATATATTGATCCCTACAGAATAAAATATTTCAGGGCATGAGATGTTTTTGATTCTTTTAAACTATTTCGTACCTTAGGAGGGATTTTTTTCAGCAAAACAAGCAAGGCCTGAAGAACAAGATTGGAGAATCTTGGACCAATTGGTACATAATCTAATGAGAAAGAACAAAGAAGAAGTAAATTGGTTATAATCTCACTGAAACTCAAGGGTACTTGACGTAAAGCAGGACAAAGCATTTTACACTACTTGTACAACAGTGTTTGTACCAAATCATCGTACTTCAATGAATCAAAGCAGTTAAAATGACATTTCTGATGGTTACATGTACATCAGGTCAACAGATGACATGCTGAAGGAGTATGGTTTAGCTCACTTCACTTGAACTCGGAATGGGTGATCTATTTCAGTTATGTAGAACAGTTGCTGGTTTACAGCAATCACATTTTGTAATGAAACACTGAGGAATTCACCGACTTAAAAGGTCCCTGAGCAAACCTAGCAACAAGAGTAGTAAGAAATGCAACCCCACCCCCAAAATGGGTCATTAATGAAATGTTCATGTCATTCAGGTTTGCTTGGAAACACTGAGGAATTCACCGACTTAAAAGGTCCCTGAGCAAACCTAGCAACAAGAGTAGTAAGAAATGCAACCCCACCCCCAAAATGGGTCATTAATGAAATGTTCATGTCATTCAGGTTTGCTTGGAAACGTTTCGGAAAATACATAAACATGAGCTCCTCAAATACTAATTTCCTTTCTACACTTATGAATTGTTTAGGTTATGTTTCTGTAATCTGGCAGATCATGTTCTACTAAATACAGGAGAGTAAAGGAATTAAATAAACAGGGGAAAGCTGCTGTAATGAACACAATGAGGTCCACACAAAGTGCTCGGTATGGCAGTCATTTATTTTTGCAAATGATTGCTTGAAAATCACATGCAACACAATGTATAGTTACATTGGCTCCTATAGATAAAATGCCACTTTGATAAATGGACTGCACTGGGAACCATGCTAATACAGCACCACTGGAGGCACTGGAGTGCTGCAAGCTCATCTGACGATGAGTATGTGTTCGGAGTATCGTCATCAAACATCCGGTTATCACGGTAACAGTCAACGAAACTCCCATGCCAGCCATCATTGATACAGGTGCGTCAGTTAATGTCATGTGTCTGGCTGTATACAACAAACTGTCCTCCAAACCGCCACTGTGCAAGGACAATGCAGCCAAAGTCTTTGCCTATGGTAGTTAAACACCCCTGGAGATTGTTGGCACATTTGACACTTCTATCGCTTATAAGGGGTCCCAAGTGAACTGCACCTTCTGTGTTACCAAAACCACTGGAGACACATTGATCAGTTTCCGAACAGCGTCTGCTCTCCGGGTCATTCATGTGGCCTACAACCTTCACCCCGACAACCCCCATAAGCCCATGGACAGTCTTGTGGAACAATTCGCAGATCGTTTCACTGGTATTGGCAAGTTAAAGAACATTCAGTGCAAGCTACACGTGGACGAGACTGTCCGACCGATTGCCCTGCCACACCGTCGTATCCCGTTCCATGTCCGCAAGAAAGTTGAGAACGAACTTGACAAGCTACTTCGCCTTGATATCATTGAGCCGGTACGCAATGAGCCAACTCCGTGGGTCTCACCCATACATGTGGTCGAAAAACCTAATCGACCAGGTGAGATTCGTATGTGCGTGGACATGCGAAATGTCAATGCTGCTATTAAACGCGAACGCCACATAACACCCACCATCGACAACATCCTCGCTCAGGTCAATGGCGCTACCGTGTTCAGCAAAATGGACCTTAACGCAGGCTACCACCAAGTTGAGCTAGCCCCAGAATCGCGCCACCTGGCTGTATTTTCAACGCACAAAGGCTTGTTCCGTTACAAGCGTTTGAATTTCGGCGTAAGCTCAGCAGAGGAAGTCTTCCAAAACACGATCTCCTCAGCTCTCTGTGGCCTGGTGGGTACGCTAAACATCAGCGATGACATCCTCGTGTTTGGTCGCACGCAAGCCGAACATGACACACGACTTGCAGCCTGTCTGCAACGTCTTCGCGAATGCAACCTAACTCTGAACAGAGATAAGTGCAGTTTCGGTCAGTTACGTGTTGAATACTTTGGCCATGTATTCAGTTCCAGTGGCATCTCTCCCGACAAGAAGAAAGTCGAAGCCATCCAACAAGTTCGTGACCCCACCAATGCCAGCGAGGTCAGGAGTTTCCTTGGCCTGGTAACGTACTGTAGCCGGTTTATACCAGACCTTGCCACTATTTCAGCCCCACTGCGCGAGTTGACCAAGAAAGACTCCACCTGGAACTGGGGACCAGAACACCAGCAAGCGCTCACGTAGATTCGTAAAAGCATCACACACTGTTGTACCATGGCATACTTCGACCCCGGCAAGAAGACTGAACTGCTCGTTGATGCTAGCCCGGTCGGCCTAGCTGGTATTCTTGCCCAAAGCAACGACAGGGATGAACTGTCGATTGTTGCTCTTGCCAGTCGATCTCTGACACCCGTTGAACAGCGGTATTCCCAGACGGAACGCGAAGTTCTCGCCATCACTTGGGCAATACTTCACTTCCACCTCTATGTGTACGGTAGCACCTTCCGCGTTATCACAGATCACAAACCGTTGGTCCCACTGTTCAATAACCAGCACAGCCAAGCTCTGGTTAATGAAGTTGCAGGAGTACAACTTCACCGTTGAGTATCAGCAAGGAAAGCTGAATCCCGCGGACTATATGTCACGAACGCCATGCCCAAGTCAGTCACCCTCGACAAAATCCGCACTGCCACTCGCGACGAGCGGGTTCTCCAGTCGACCATCGACGCGGTCGCCACCCATAGCTGGGACACACTCTTGAGACAACCCCACAACCAAGAGACTCTCGCGACCCTCAAGAGTCTACATAAAGTGCGCGAAGAACTAACAGCAACAACTGATCGCGACCTGCTGCTGCGTGGAAGTCATATCGTGATTCCACAAGCACTCGCACAATCGATTATCGACATTGCTCACGAAGGACACCAAGGCATGACAAAGACTAAACAGCTACTTCGTGAGAAAGTGTGGTTTCCCAACATGGACACACCCGTCGACAACACGGTTCGCGACTGCCTCTCATGTCCGTTGACAACCCCGAATGACACTCGAACACCACTCACTATGTCTACACTCCCAGACGGCCCATGGCTCGAAGTCAGCATCGATTTCTGTGATCTCCCCACAGGAGAACATCTCCTCGTAGTCATGGACGATTACAGTCATTTTCCCGAAGTCGAAATCGTGACTTTCACTTCTGCCCGTTCAGTAATTCCCAAACTGGATCGTATCTTCGCCACGTTTGGCATTCCAAAGGTAGTATGCTCTGAAAACGGGCTACCCTTCATCCTTCGCAGACTACCTCGGGTTCCATCATCGGAAAATCACCCCACGTTGGCCCCTTGCCAGTGGGGAGGTGGAACAGTTCATGAAAACAATCAAAAAGACATATCGCACCACAATCACAGACGGAATACCGTGGAAGCAAGCTCTCTATAAGTTCCTGCGAAATTACCGAGCAACGCCGCATGCTACGACAGGAGTTGCATCTGCAACGCTACTCTTTGGCAGGCCCGCGATTTGTGCACGGTCTCCCTGAGACCGTGCACAAATCGCGAGCCAAACCTGTCAGATCGCGTGACAAATGCAAGAAAGCCGCGATGAAACAATACGCTGACAACAGAGAGCAGGCACGTCCCAAGAACATTGAAATCGGTGATACAGTTCTTCTACGACGCGATGGACTAGTCGCAAAACACCAAACCCCATACCATACTCACCCCTACACTGTGACTGCCAAAAAAGGATCTATGGTAACAGCTCAGCGTGGCACTCACACAGTCACACGCAACATCTCGCGACACAAACTCATCCAGACCAACACACCAATCCAGCAGGATCCGGAGGAATCCGACATTGAGGACGTGACAAATCCAACACACACTCCTACTCGAGCACCAGCACCGCGCCAGAACCCTGCTCGAAATCGCCACCCACCTGCTCACCTAAGACTATGTGACTTAAAGACTGTAGGAAAGACACCTGCATGTTGGACACTTTTGTTTAATTTGCTTGAGGACATCTGCACAAGTGTGTTTACCCAATTTGTTTTCCTGTTTATGTTTAGAGAACTTCAAGTTTGGAAAAAGAAAAAAAATGGCTGAAAGAAAATGCAACTTTGTAACTGTGACTAGCTCAAAAGAAATAATAATAGTAACCAACTGTGACTCTAGCTCAAAACAAAGATAATAATAACGATAAGGCATATATATTTGAAGACAGTACAAAAATGGACAGTGAAGCTTTTCTCAGCTAACTCCCAGTTTTGAATCTTATTTAATTAGTCGTCTGCTTCACATTTACAAAATCACTCTTTTATGTACACAGTTATCATTCAAGGTGGAAAGGGATGTAGTATTCTTAAAACATGTCCAAACTGGGACACCGTACATATACTTTGGAACGCATTAAAGGTCAAGGGTCACGCATTCCTCGTGACTGCAGTACAGCCACCTAAAACAGCGTGTACGTCTCACTCTCTCATTCTAAGCTAAACGCCTTAGGATATCACAATGTCAGCAATTACACGTCAGGCTAGCATTTTGAAAGCACTTGAAACTAGACAGATATTTATCAAAGATTTCTCAGAGATAAGTAACAAAGGCTAGGGTCTATCTGCATGTTCTGTTCTGAGGGATTTTTGGAGGTCAAATCTTCCAGTTTTTTGTTGTTTAAAGCAAATTTGTGCAAAAAGAACTTAGGAGGCAAAGGAGATGTTCAGAATACCTGAATGTTTGCTATGGCTAAATAGCAATGATTCACAGTACATAAATGTGAAACCTGTTTTGGCAATAAAAACAGTTTCCCTAAATTTTTCTAAACTTCCTTACTCGAAGACCAAGAATTTTGCGAGCTTATATGTACTGTGGTACCTAAGTGTATAATTTGGGAGTGGTTCTGACATCAACAATCAGATACTTGGGTGCTCTGTTCTGATGCACATTTCCTAGTAAATTTCTCTTGGGTCATTCTATGTAAAATCACCAAAAATCCAAACTTTACTGATGTTTGATGTTTGGAATAAAGTGGCTGTTTCATCCCTGTTGGACCAACAGTTTTTGCATTATAGACTGCCATTTTCCCCCAATTTTGACTAAACTGGGTACAGCCATCAATTTTCAACTGACCACACCTTCCTAACTTATACGCCAAATTTGTTGATATTGTTCTCTTTGGAAAGGTAATATCACGGGGAGTTCAAATATGCTACTCAAGCACAACTTACCAAGAAGCCTCTCGATATCGTCAACAACGACACAGCTGAGTTCTGACTTGTAAGCATCCTCAAAGATCTATTCAAAACATTTGGAACAACACAAGCTTCTAATAAAAAGTGAAAAGACCACCAACATAAGAGAACGCTTTCATGAAAGTGCAGATAAAATGTCATTTTCAAGGTAAATCCAGTTATTAATCCTAAATTGCTCAGAGCTTATTCATGAACAGCATTAACTGTTGGCCAGAAGAGGCCTTTGGTACTGTTATTAGAGCTAAGATCCTAACAATAATACCCATAATACATGTGTATACTGTGCCTAACCAGCTTACTTTTGGGCTGTACTCAGATTCTCTGATGCACTTATTGTCACCAGCAGAATGGCAGATGCTTGACCTACTGAGATCTCTGAGATAATGCACAATCAGTATGCTTGGCTTATCTGCCATGTTTGATATTACAAGGTTGTTGCTATACAGGTGCTGATTTCTAACTTTCAGTGTCTTTAACTGTTTTAAAATTTATGATGACAAATAGAAGACGTAAGTCTCTATTCTGAAAACAGTGTTGAGTATAGTGCTGTTCCTTGAATTCAGCACCATTCCTCTGCACGACTAGAAAGTGATGCCCATTGATGTCCAAGCAATCAATAGTAAGAAACATATTGAATTGTCATATCTGACCTCAATACTGTTTTTCATTGGCCCAGACCAATCAAGTTGGTAGGGCAACAAAAGCCCATGTTACACTCACCATCAGACATCACACCAGCTGGGTTCGAATATTGAGTGCACAAATGTACCCAAGTATGCACCCTTAAATCGAACAGGATAATGCAAGGACCACTGATCGCTTATGTTTAAAGAGTCCTTTGTTGCCCTTTATTCCCTCAAAAAAAAAAATTAAAATCTTCATCAAGGTAGAGATAAGACAAAACAATTGTTTGCCACAGGTGCAATGTGTCCCTAGGTTCCAAATGTCATATCTCCCACCACAGCTTTCAAAACCTGTTGGTCGTCATGTACAAACAACAGCTAAAAAAAAGCTAAAATTCAACCCCATTCTGACTGGGCTTGTCAGGAGTTATACACCGTTTTATAATGTAGACATTTTTTGCATGAAATTCACACATATTATAATTATACATTGTGTACGCATTGTTATGTATTTTATTGTTTAACTGTTGTCACATACTGTTTACCCCGGCATCAGTGTAAGATATGATAATTATGATAAGATGGAAAATACACAACTTGATAGAAAACAGAATGTATTCTAATAAATTTACATGACACAATTGCCAAGCAACATGAAAACACTTGGGATGATTTTTGTGAATTTGGTATCAAAAGCTGTGCAAGACTTCAAAGAAAAAAGTCATGACATGTCGAAAGTAAGGAGAGTTGGGAAGTCAGGACAGTTTGATATCAGCAGTGGTTTGGAGTAGCAACAAACTTTCCATGGGGGAGGGGTCCAATTAATACCCCTCCCAGTCTGTATGTGAAATTCCCATAATCTTGTACAGAGCTGATTCACAAAAAAAAACCGAACCAAAAAAATGAAAATCAGCTGACGAGCTGAATTTTCACACCCATGTCTGTGTCTACCCACTGGCTCTGGTGATTGGCTAACCAGTCCATGACATACCTTTTTAATAGCCTGACATTTAGCACTTTCAGAATAGCCAACCATGTCTTCTGGGGAACATATCTTCACAAACGGAAATTCTGACTTCATCGACAGAGTAGCAGCAAGAGCTGTCTTTCCACTTCCTGGAGGACCTGATTAAGGAATGATGCCAAAGTTAATGTCTCTCAAATATGACATCCAAAATGCCACATGACATTGAAAGTAAACATAGTGAAGCCACTGGTGCTCAAAGCTTTCTAAATATCAAATGGATACTGAGAAAAACAACAAAAAATGACAAAAAGTTAATGTCATTCTCTTTAACATACACAATTTAAAGTAGTATGAGATAAAAAATATGTATCAATATCCCAATGCGGTCAATATTTTGGTACCAACCCAGGGACTAACATTTTATTAATGAAACCTTGTTTAATGAAGGGTTAGAAAGTGGGGGTATTTCTGTGATGATGTCTTGCAAAATATTTTGACTTGCAAGGATATAGTCCAATATTAAGAATACATGGACAGGACAGTTACAGTTTATTTAACAGAGCATTTCATTTCAGAGCATCAGCAAAATACAAAAATACTTTACCATTATGATCAAGAATGTTATTTTGGTATCTGAATGTCAGCACAGCACCTGTGAATTATCATTATGAGTGACTACAATATGCTCATTATGTTAGATTGCATTGGTCCTGATCTTCTAAAATAGCTAAGAAGAGGCATGATTCCATTTAGATTATTACACTTCCAACCATGCTCTCACACAGATCTGCATCAATACACTGATACCTTTATGAAAGACTGTTCTACAAACTTATGTGTTAACTCTTTTCATGTTCATAGCATTTTAAATTTAACTGGATAGACCTTGTTCAGAGCTACAGACTGTAATAATAACTACCAGGCAACAATGCCATGAATGACTATTCCAATTAGAACCTGTGATAAAAATATTGTAATTTACAGTAGCCACTGTAAATGATTTAAGAGACTTTTGTTAAATTAAACATATTACAACTTTTATGGCAAAACAATACAACTGTGAATCATTATGACATAATTGTCATCAGGTCAAAGGGATTTGGAATCAGAGTTTGTCTCTCCTACACAAGTTAGAATCCTGACGTAAATAATTAGCAAAATGGAAAGAAAAATTGAAAAAAATGCAGAAGAAACTCAAATTTGTACTTTCAACATTTAACCCTTAGTTCCAAAAACGTACAATCAAGGATTCTGGTTTACATGGAAGTATGACATACTGCAGGCAATTACATGTGGGTAAAGAAGTGATTTTACGTAGTTTTGTTGGTAAATACATGTACTTCCTGTATTAGAGGTTTTTTCTTTACATGTATATGATATGATACAAATTTTTCATTTCCAGGTTTTGTGATAAAATTCAGACTAAATATCTGATGTAAACACTTCCTACTGACCTTCCATAAGCAAGCTTACTAGTGGTGTACGATTGCTAAGTTTAGTTTGTTGCACTACGAGCTCTCCATCAGCCAGTACCCGTGCTACTGGTTCACCAAAGTTGATTATGCCATTGAGGATGTAGTTGCTGAAACTTTCATCACTAACTCCAAATGCCTAAATAAAAGAACAGACTTTTAAAATACCTGCGATTTAGTGATAAGTTTGCAAAAAAAACCCCCAAAATTACATGTTAGTCTTGCTCTTTCCATGATTTGGATGGAAAAATAAATACAATGAAAGAATGGCAAGACCTTTGAAAGTAACATGCAATTCAAGTTGAATATTCACAATTTTAATGATTCCATTTGTAAAATATATGTGAACTTTAATAGTGAAGTGCGGAATTGCTGAAAAAAAAAACCACTGTGCCGCTGAAAAACCCGGTTCCACGGTCATAATTGTGGGTTCAGAGATTTAACCTGGGCTTTGATATTTAAATCAATGTACTGCTTTGAAAAAAAAGAGCCCTGTTTTGGCCACAGGTCCAACTGGGATTGCGCACAATGCCATTTGTTACGAGTTTTTAATATTTTAAGCATATCTGGGTACCTACTATTGACATAAAACAGGTACCCAGTTCCAAAAATACCTGTAAATGCACGCCCCTAAAAGCTACATGTATAATGTAATTACAAGAGCATAACTTGCAGTGCAAAGTGAAGCCTTCTAGATGCATCCATGTTTATGCATAAACCTTTGGAAAATTTGAAATTTTGTATGGCTTTGCAACAGCTATTTGCATGTCTGCATCTGTATTGTAAAATGACGCGACAAAGAAGCCAATATACCAAACTACTAAATGCACTAGTAGTTAAGAAGCATTATGGTTTGTTTCTTGTAACACAATTGCATGTGCGCTGGACAGTTTGCTGAGGCTGTTTAGTGTGTCACATCTAATGATAACATTTAATTTAGTTAAAGAATACACAAAAGAATTTCAGTGAATATATACTTACTGGTTTGATATCATTCGCCAGTGCAATCATAAAATCTGATTTCTGAACTTGCATTTTCTCAGCTGCTTCATAATCCACTTCAACTTTTGAAGAGGCCTACAAAAGAGCAAGCGTTATCTTCAGTTTGGGACAAATAATGGTCTGTACTCAAAACATGAAGTTTTAAAGGTGACTACAGCAACAACATGACACAGACTTGTACTGCTTGGTAACAAAAATTTCCACTAGAAATTTTCTAAGGGGAACTTTCCACTTCATTAGTGGACATTCATTTTGGAAGTAAGCAACTACACCAAACTGTATTTGGGAGATTTAACATTTAGTTAAGTGTATAAAGTCAGTCAGAGCTGGTTATTCATTACTGTAGTTTTTAAGTAAGTGCACAATCAATACATTTGGAGCAAAGTTTTCATTACTGGCCAGTGAGGGCAGCTTGAAAAACTTACACCAGTAAAATACCAGCTTACTTCATGCTGACAATGAGTGAACTAAGAGAAACCAGTTTCCTTTGCCTCTAAAGAAACAAGATTTACAAAAATTGTCGCACTGAAATGCTGATGTGACCAATTTACTACAGTGTTTTGTAACAGGAATGCTTTGCAAGGTTGATGTTACAGAAATTATCCAAAATCAGTATTATACCTTAATCATCCTATTCATTGCAAGAGACTGCGATGCCCTGACTAGTCCAGCAATTTCTGCCCCACTGAAGTTCTTGGTTTGTGAAGCAAGCTCCTCAAGGTTAACATCAGCTGCTAGTTTCTTGTTCTCACGCATTTTGGAAACATAAATATCCAGAATCTGCAACCTTCCTTCCTCATTAGGAAGACCTATGTAAAAATCAATCACACATTTAATGTCTTACTTTGTAGATTACGTAACTACAATTACATAAAAGCTCCACAGATTGTACAGTTTGTAAGAAACAATGACAGGCAATGTACAACAGTTCAAAGTAGTGTCTTTACAGTGGAATGGAAAGATACGTTTTAAATAATATTAACAATAATATTTAATATTGCTATCTAGACAACCCATTCACTGTAACCCAACCAAACTATAACTAGGAACTTGAGAGATAAGATCATTTATCCAGTTGATCATTGGTTGATTTTTTTATGCCTTGATGTATGTGCACTATTGGACTTTGTAAGAATTCTTCAAGGATATGATCAACCTCATGTTCCACATAAAGGGAGCTTGCATTAATGCAACATTTTTAATGATTTTTTGTTCTAACAAAGAAGCACTTTCTCAGTATCGCTGTATATTCTGGAGGGCATACTGTCTACATACCAATTTCCATTTGAACCTCCAAACGCCCTGGTCGCAGCAATGCTTCATCAATAAGATCACGTCTGTTTGTCATACCTGCAATTTTCAGAAATGACCGAAGTTCAGCTCAGTTTCAGTTCAGTTTTAGTGTTATTGTCCATTAAAATGGAAATTTTCTGTTGTAAAAGCTCATTTAAAACCATTAAAAAAATTTCAAGAAGGGTAATAAAAAACATTTTAAAACAAGTATAAATATGAAGTAAAACACAAAAACCTACCACAGACATTTCACCGTCACTGCTGCCTCAACCACAAACAATTAAGTATTCAGAACAAAGAAGACATTTTACTAACATCACAAACAACAGCCATAATAACGAGCATCTGACAATCAAACTCAATCACACACAAATCAAAACAGATAGCTGAGTGCAAAGTAAGTGATATGATTGGATATACAGTTGTGGTCAACAGTATGCATGCACTTGGACTTAAAAGTGTTTAAGTGCAAATTTTATGATTATGCCAATTTTAGTAATCATTCCTTTTCTGCAGCTGATCAGCTGACACAGCCACTTAATTTGCATCAACCTGAAAACACAAACTATAGATACAAAGATTTATCAGCTGTAGCAAAGGAATGGCTGCCGGTAGATTAGTCTTAAGACTTGTCAATAAACATTAAACAGGTACAGTTTGAGTGTATGTAAACTATTAATCACAGCTGTGTACATGGATGTTTTCTACTCCACAGAAACTGAAAATACATACATTTTACACTAATCTTTAAAGGTACATGAAGCTTAGATGAATTTTCTTAGACACACTTTTTCTGCATTATACTCTTATACATTAAACTATTTGACATCCCTGTTAGGTTACGCTTGTTGAAATGTTAGCACTTTTTCATACTTTCACATTCTTCCATTGTTTCTAAGGGAACTGCAGGTACTGTTGCTGTGATGTCATTCAGGAAAAATGTGTCAAGTTGATAGGTTTGTGTGCTCCAATTGCGAGCCATCAATTTACTCATTAAAACATTTCTGAAAAAGGGATACTCACAGGCTTTTGCAATGTAGTCCAAAAAATAGGTAAGTGAAATTTCTTGTTCACAAACCAATTTAACTTTGAGATTTTTTTCTTGCAATGACATCAGTTTTGCTCTCGCATATAAAAATCTCATTGGTATAAAAACCACAAGGCAGTAAAATACCCTTTAAAATAGTGTGACAGGAATTAAAAATGAGGTTAACTGAGACACAAAGGAGAATTATGAAGGTTTGTGCTAGAAAAAAATATACATTGCAGCGCCCCTTTCAGACAAATAGAATAAATGGAGATAATTTTCCCTATTTCACTAGGTTTGCACTTTGATGTATTTTACTTAAGTCTCCCTAAGGTATCCCCTCACAGGCAAAGCAGGGTGAGGCTGGTTGGGACCATTTCAAGATTGAATTGGTGCACAAACATTCAAGCCTATGTGTCCACAACGTGAATGTGTGTCAGCTCATGAAAGATAAAATTTTTCATTTACACATCAATATGCATGTGTGTGAGCAACATTGTCTTTAAAACTTCACAAGATACACATGCAAAGTTAAGTTTTCTTAGATGGGAGAAAACCAGTGATTAACCCTCACATATTTTAGACGGCTAAAGTTGAGTTCACAATGTAAATGGTAAAGCCTGAAGTGAAATGGTGTCTTTGTAGAAAGAACAACATCCTAAGTTGTCCAAAAAAGCATGGGACCTTATAAATGCATGAAGATGAGCCCTTTAAACTGTAGTTAACCAAAAATAGTTGTTAAATTGTTTAATAAACAATAAATCATCAAACAGACCATTTAAATGGAACATAATTTACCGATGATGAGAATGTTATTGAGTTGTTCCACTCCATCTATTTTGGCAAGAAGCTGGTTGACCACTGTATCATGAACTCCAGTGCTGCCACTCTACAAGAAAAAAAATATTCTGTTCGAAAATATTGTGCCTGAAGTTAAAAAATTATGATTCAGTATTTTTTTAAAATGACATCAAAATAGGAACATTGGAATATTTACTTAATATCAGTCTAATATTCCTGTTTGGAACTTGTCCCAATTAACAATAATTTATATTAAATTTGGTATTTTCTTCCTTGCACAAGTGATCTATTCAGAAACGATGATCTTGAAATCCTTCAATGGTGATGCAGCCTGCATCTCCTGTACCATTTTTCTTGTTATTTCAAGCTTTCGTCCAGCAATACAGGCATATCACAATAGTGCGCCTCCAAGAGTTTGCAATACACTGGCCAATCACAATGTGCAAAATCTGTCAATACTTTCCAAACACGCATTGGATTGACAGATTTCGCTCATTATGATCAGCCAGTGTGTTGCAAACTCTTGGAGGCGCACTATTGTGAAACGCATGTATTGGGAAGACTGATTATTTACCATTGTGCCACGCTGTTTACAGATTGCATCAATCTCATCAAAGATGATAATATGAAGTCCACTGTTGACTCCACACTGCAACGAAAAGAAAAAACGACGTAATTATTCAGATTAAGTATATACAAAAATCAAAAAGCAGTAGTTTAGCATCTGTTTTTGACATGCAGTGGAACGCCGCTATAACAAACACCTCTGCACTGAGCATCTGGATTATAAAACATCTCCCTTGGCTCTGGAATTTTCTGTGCATTTTTAGTGAACATTACAAGTTTGCTTTAAACAAACGAAACACATTTAAAACTGATGAAAATTACTAAAAGGAAAATTGCGCTAACAATGGAACAAGGGCCTATATGTGGCATGGTTTGTATTGTTCCTGGGGAGCCTACATTGCATGTAATGTGCATGTATCCAATACTGCAAAGTAAACTAGATGCTAAATATGTGTATGCAACACTGGTGACTCTAGTGCAAAAAAACTGGCATGAAATTACTAAAAAAGCAGGAGAATTGAGCTCAAAAAATAACAAACACAGAAAATGATTGCGCAGATAGACCCTACCATTTGTTACTTAAACAGCACCTCTAAGAAAAACATGTTTTCTCAGATTTTATGCCAAACAATGAATGCAATGCATGCCACACATTTGAATCAGTTAGAGTTCAGAACAGATGGTGTACCTTTTACTGAAAATTGCTATACGGAACGACTGCTGTACTGGACATTTCGTACAGACCCTGTCATGTTAATTATAGCAGTATTCCACTGAGTACACATAATTAACATATTACCTTGATTAAGATTAGTTGCAGTGAATGTTTATTCCACTTGGTTTCATTGCATGGAATGGAACATTGAATCTAAGTTCATGCAATAATTCATTCTACTGCACACATAAACATTCATTATTTATATACCATGCATATACTGAAATGATGTCTACCAACCCTCTTTTGTTCATCTTCTGCAGCACTGAACAGCTTTCGGATGTTTGCTTCAGATTCTCCAACAAATTTGTTGAGAATTTCTGGCCCATTTACAATCTGGGGTGGTCTTGAATTTAGCATTTTTCCTATTGTTCGGGCCATCAATGTTTTCCCAGTTCCTGGAGAGAAACAATTATAATTGGTTTGTTATTTTTTCCATGGTGTGCATTGGCTATGTTTGAGTTGCAACTATTTTCTACATTTCTTTCTTATAATACATTTGTTGAGTCTTGTGATCTTTGCATGCATTGCTTAATACCAGTAGTACATCACTGGTTTCCATTTTTGTTATTTTGCTGATATCAAAATGACAAAAATGGTTAAGCTGTTGAAACCTATTATGGTTTAAAATTTTACCTAGAAATACTTTGCTCTAATGTAGGGTTATTTTCCTGCTTTAGTCACTGAACTCTTGGCCTGCAGGCTTCCTGGTATCATAAGTACTCTTTGATCTTCTTTATCATGCCCTGTTTATTAGTAGTAAAGCCATGCTTTTTGCTTTCAAGAAATGCCACAATCTACACATACATGTATATGGCATTGAACATTTTGCATGCTGTGATTAGTGCTAACAACCTTGAAGGTTAACAGAAATTGAAAACATTTTTTTAGTTCATGTGAAGTATTTTAAAATAACAATAAATACATAACCATTTCAAAAACATCATAAATGCAATGTTTACCCCATTAAATCGTTACTCCAAAATGAATAAAAAGATCCTGAGTTTCCTGGCCCAAAAAAATCCCCTTTTGGCCATTCGCGCTCCCAGGCTGATTGGATGACTAATTGGCAGAACGCTGACATGTACTATGTACATGTACAATGCATGATTGCACACAGTCCGTGCAGTATCGCACGCTTGCAATAGACCACGTTGTGTTTGATGTAGCTTGGCCCACAGGCAAACACTGTGGTAGTTAGGACTGTATCTTTTAATTTATACCTTGAACCAAGACAGTATTTGCCAGTGAGCCAAGCTACATTAAACACAATGTGGTCTATTGCAAGCATGAACTAAATGTTTTCAATTTTTGTTAACCTTTAACAGAGCGGTGTACTATACTTGCGTATTTGTGTGAAAGGACTAAGAGTATATTTCTACATTATGTAACCTGCTGTGTAAAGATGAGTCATAAGGGGGTATGTGGCCAAGTGGTCAGGATTTGTAGCTTCTGATCATAGGGTTAGGGGCTCAAATCAGCATGTTGTGATCTTGGGCAAATCATTTTACTCTTACTTGCCTCTCTCCACCCAGGAGTAAATGGGTACCTAGGGCAGATATGGTTATGTTTAGCCGTTTGTACCTGATATGGCAGCATCAGGCTAATATTCTCCTGGGGGAGATGAGATGATTTCAGGATGTTGTGAGCCCAACTACTGTGCAGGGACAATGATAATATATTGGTGCCTTTGAAGTACAGAAACTGTGAGATACTGCACGCCTTATAAATACTTTGATATTATTTTCATATGGCCATCTTTTCAGTTGTTTTGTTTCAGGTTACATCAAAAAGAGAGAGCTGAGCATTTTTGGTTTTGATACAGCAGCCATTTTGGCATCCTGATTAAAAATGAGTATCGTGTGGGTTAAAACTGATGATGGTCCTATTAATTTCCATATTGCAAGACTCTTTTAAAATTATGTACCTCAAAAGCAGCTCTTGCAACTTAAATGTATTATTCCTTTTCACAGTGAGGGTCAAATATTATAGTTTCAAAACTAGCAACACACCAAGCAATTGTCAATTTTCAATCGGCACTGTGTGAGTTAGTGTGTGGATGTGTGTGTATGAAACACATATTTCAAATATTAGTGTGCCATGAAAGGGAAGTTGTGCTGGCACAAGAAACTTACCAGGTGGACCATAGAGCAGAATTCCTTTGACATGCTGTGCACCTGTTTTTGTGAACAATAAATAACTGATGATTAGAAAAGGTTATTGTCAAATTCTGTTGACTGAAATTATAGTATGTTAATGCCCTTTAGTCTCATATAAAATACCACATATTTGAACGTTTGGCCATGGTAGATGAAGTGGAGGAACTTCTGGTCTTTGAGATGGTTGGGAATGTGCAGGTACGCGACCTTCAGATCCCCTGTAGAGGACCAGGCTAGGATGGGCAGAGACTGGGTGACTTTTTTGCAAGGTTTCCATGCACTGTGGGCGGATGAATCTATTCAGCGGCTTAAGGTTGAGGATTGGGCACCGGGTGTTCGGCTTCTTCTTCGGGGTGAGGATGTTGAAACGAACCCATTGCGGAATGGATGAGCGACTGGGGCAGTGGCTAGTTTCTGAAGATGGGGGCTGATTTCTGACTTCAGGGTCTGGCATTGGGTGGAGTTCATGGTGGAGGCATAGATCGGACGGAAGAGTGCGCATGAATTCGAGGAAGTAGCCTAAGGACATCATCTTGAGAATCCATCTCTGATGTGATGTCCTGCCAGAGCCCTATGAAAGTCGTAGTCGGCCCCCTGACAGACCCGGGAGCGGGAGCCGCTAGCGAGTTGATGGAGTCATTGGCCACATTCCCCTTATAAACGGGGAATGTGGTCAGAACTTGCGCTGGATTTACGAGACCCACTAGAAGGCTGTGCTCTCATGAAAGAGGAGCTGTAGCGTGGTCAAGGATAAAAGGAGCTCAATGTATAGCAGGGACCCCGGCGACCAGGTAGAACAGCCCTAGGTGGTGGAGCATGGCGAGCTGGTGAGGAGGCTCTGTGAATGAAATCTTGTGTGATGCCTTATCTGCTTGGCCTAAGATTGCAGCATCTCGGTGAACTGCCCTGCAAAAAGGTCTTTGCTGTGGAGGGGAAGGTTCTGCAAGTAACTTTGTCCCCTGGGTACAGGATATGCATCGCTGCCATGGTGTTGGAGTGATGGGAAGAGGTGATCAGGCAGGACATACATTTGTATGTGAAAACTGTTGAAAGACCATAGTGATGTTCCTATCAAGGGCCCAAAGGGCAATGGTGCAAGGTACGGGGACGGGCAAATATTCTCACAGGTGTAGGAGAGGTACATGTACTCCACGAGAAGGGACAGGAAGGCTGTACAGCGCAGGCTATGATGAAAAGCCATGCTTAGTCCAGTTAGGATAGACTCCAGCTCAGTTGACAGGAGGTGCGGGATGGAGAGAAAGTCCACTGTGTCCGACTTGGTGAACTGAAGAGCAGGCTGGAGAGAATGTACAAAAGAGCCTGGAAAGCCGTGGCGAGAGAGGCGGAGTTCCGGTGCTTGGACGGGTGTGATGTCTTGGTGGGGGACCCAGCTGAAGAGGAGGACAATTGCTCACGTCTCTTGTGGCCAGGAGAGCCTGTGGAGAAATTCAACACAGAGGTAGGCTTGAAGGTAGCATCCGTGGGTTGGTTTAAGGTTGCAAGCCACTGAGTGGTGAGGATTGTGTGACCTGGCTAATCGACGTGGCTGGTGCCGAGGGTCCTGGACCTGAGCTGGTGATACTGCGGGAGCCTTGATGGTATAGTAGACTGGTGGGTTTGGCTGTTCTGGCTGTGGTGAGTGATCCGCACTCCTTCGGCTCTTTCAATGGGGCAGCCCTAGAAAGTGATGGGGAACCGCCCCTGTTTCGCCCTCTTCTGCTTCACACCTTTATGCTCTTGATGTGGAGTCTGATGGAGGGTAGAGGTATGAAGGTGGACTTACAAAATGACTAATGTGCATGATAGTCCAGGGATGGAAAAATCCTTATACAGGCTAGAGGACTCACAACTAGTAAATAACACCATAATGGGTGACTACTGGCCTGGGAAAAAATTATCATAACAAGCGGGCCAGGAAGGACCTGTAAAAATATATAAAAGGAAGCCCTAACTCGGCTAAGAACTGTACCGGCCAAGCCATACAAATAGTGGGGGCACCTTACAAATAGTGTTACCAGGTACAGTGATAAATATACGTTGTACCATAAAAACAAACTTAAAATGTAACTTTTCACAAAAGAGTGACAGAACAGTGGCACAAAAGATATAACAGTATGATACAGTACAATACTTAACAGTTGATCAGGATTACACAGATCAGCTTTAGTGACATGGAACTCTTGATGAAATTGAGAAGGTTGAAAAGACACGTCCGTAAGTAAAAAGCAGTCTGAAAAAGAAGGACAAATATGGTGGCGACCACACCTGGGGTGGACCGATAGAGGGCACACTACAGTTGATAAAATATTTAGCAAACAGCAATAGATCACTAGGGAAATATGCACATGTAGTGACTGTCTCGATAAGTTGACTGCAATGGACTAGCTGTTTAACCAAGATACTAAGGTTACACATTAAAAAAAACAGAAGTTCTATGATTGATTGGTTTAAGGTTGCTTTTTCTTCAGGTTAATGCATTTTGTATGGATGGTCCTAAACTTTTGCAAAAGACTGTACAACTTTTAAAGTTTAGATAATGTCTGATTATGTGCTCTAGCCAACGCTATTGAGAGAAAAGCTTCTTTTACAAGGAAATGGGGTTACTAGACTAGGGGCATTTTTGTGTGCCTCCCATGGTCACTACAGTCATGTAGTCCTCACAACTACGGAATGAGCCTGTGTGGACTCAGTACAGATCAAGACTTAGCAACATTCAAGCTTTGAAAAAAATGAAAACATTCCTTTAACCCTTTAGTGACCAGAGTGGCCGCAAATGCCTGATACCCATGCGACCATAGCGGCCGCAGACGGCTGCCATGTTCTCCCCTTTCCCGCCGGTGCGCTGTGTTTGACAACTTGATTTGAAGTTCAATGATAGAGCTTTAAAATGAGGTACCAGTTTACATATGCTGTTTTGTAAAGTTACAAAGTTTTTCACGTTCGGAACCAGCGAGTCGTCTTTTCATGAAATACTCATTCAGGTTGTTCATGCGCAGACTCGTTTGTACGGCATCATCTACATTATTACACATACAGTAATTCCTGTACTTGTACAGCCTGCGCTGCACGTTGAATCAACAGTACCAAGACGGCCCGCAGGCGTGTTGATGCCGCCTCAATTCTTCAAGAAATTGTAGAATCTTGCCAAAAATCGGATGATTCAGACAACAGTTCTGATATTGAGGTCTCGACACAGGTTAGTTTTGTAATTTCTGTTTTGATTGATGCTAAAACTACAGCAGTCAATTTGGTTGCTAACGCTCAGCCCAAGCTTCAGCAGACGTGATGCATGTTGTCAGGCCGATGTATAAAATTTCTTCGTTTCGGGCACTTATTTTCCTTCATTATTTTTACAGCTAGGTTTAGATTTAGCCCATATATGGGGAGCTACATTTTAAAACGAAAAATAAAGTTCGGAAGAGATGATGATGACCGAATAACCACAAACTGATGAACAACAAAACAGCTAATTGTTTTCATAATGGTGTCTAATGTTTACATGGAGGACATGATTTGGGGTGAAGCTATCATATTCATCCCAGTTTGAGCAATTTATCAGGTATGAGTCTTTGCATTTCCAAGAGATCTGAAGATGATGGTATAGATTCTGAGGAATCTATGGGTAATGCTCCAAGTTCCGATGACAGTGATGCTGCACAACCTGAAACCCATTCCACTGTCACCCCAAGGCAAAAAAGACACAAGCCTGGACAGCAGAGTAATTGGAGTGAGACAATCCCATCAAGAGAAATCCCAGTTTACAAGGATTCATCAGGTCCCACATTAAAGCTACCATTTGATGCCCCGAAACTGGATTATCTTCTGTAAGAGATTGGTGAAGATTTCTCCACAAACCTTGCAGACTCAACAAATCAGTTTGCTGTTTTCAATGCCCACCTGCACATCCAAACAAAGCTGATCGATTGGCCACTTCAGACATGGTACCCAACAACTGCCAATGAAACAAAAGCATATATTGGCACAAACATGTTGATGGGTATTGCTCAGCTTCCAGAGGGCAGAGATTATTGGAGTACTGACACTGTTCTGCATAATCATTATGTTGCTCAATGGTTCTCACAAAACAGATTTGAAAAGTTGAGTCGTTACCTCCATCCCAGTGATTCCATTGCAGAGGATGACACAGCCAAACTGTACAAAATTGGTACAATAATAGCATCTTTTGGCAAGAACTTTCATCAGAATTTCACTCCTGGAGCACAGCTGTCTTTGGATGAGGCCATGATTCAGTTTGATGGAAGGCTAGCATGGAAGCAATACATGCCAAGGAAGCCATTGAAATGGGGCATCAAATTGTAGTGTCTTTGCGACTCGTTAACTGGCTACTGTTCTACTTTTCAAGTGTACACAGGAAAAGACACCGATTAAAGTAGAGATAGCCTTGGATTTGATGTTGTAACAAAGCTAACCCAAAAGTTTCAAGATACCAACAGCCATGTGTATGCAGACAATTTCTTTTCTTTGGTAAGGCTACTGGAGAATCTTTTGCAGTATGGCTTATTTTACAGTGGTACTGTTCGCCAAAATAGCAAAGATCTTCCAAAGCAGGTCATCCAAGCAAAATTGAAGAAAGGTGAAAAAAGGTGCAAGTATTGATGGGGGGATGTGTCAAAAACTAGAACAAAGAACAAAACTGAAGTACATCATATTCCAAATATGCTTATGTGTAATAAATACATGGGAGGGGTTGACCACAATGATCAACGCTTATTATAATGTTGGTCGATCTGGCAAAAAATGGTGGAAATATATCATGTGGGGTTTGCTCAACATTGCCACTGTCAATGCACACATACTGCATTCACTCTCCCATATGCCATTGCCAGCTGACAAACAGAAGTATTCCCTGAAGCCTTCAAACTAGCACTCATACATCAGATAGTTGATAACTTCTTTTCTCAGAAGCGGTCTGTCTCAGGGACATCGACAGGTACCCAAGTTATGGGAATTTTGCAGTGAGACATCCTCCCTGGACTTTCACTTGTATGTCTTAAGGGACGGAAAAAGGCATGCCGAGCCTGCTCCATGAAGGCCCGCAGACCACAATCAGGTTGTTGTTTTGAAACCAACTATGCATGCTCCTTGTGCCAGGTTTATTTCTGCAAGAAAGGGGCTTCCTTTTAGGAATTTCATGGACTTCTCCACCATGAACACTAGCTTTGCATGCGATATGGTATGTTACACAATCTGTCCAAATATGAACAGTGTAGTCTGTTTCCCATGGTCATTCTAGTTAGGACTTCCATTGAAAAAGATGGTACTGCATACACGTTTGATGATTTGTACAGTTTCTTGAATATGTACAACTGCAGTCGGCAAATAAAATACATGTATACATGTATGTGTGTACCTCATAGCTTTGTCAAAATTTTATTGAGGTGGCCTCATGAAAAAACAAATTGTGCAAAATGAAAAATATAACTAGACTGACTGACATTTTCAATGGAAAATATGCGGTGAAAGGTCAAATTGGACAATGGATATTGGAATTTTTTAAATTGGATAATAAAACACTAGGTCAATTTGTGGTCAGAGGTCATGGGTACAAGGTTAAGTGATTATCAAAGCTGTAGTTTATTTTGCATTTGCTTGAGCCCAACATTACTAAAGGAAAGGACATGTGTACGTATAAAACCCCTGAAATTAGAAAACACCACAACACTTTATGTCAAACCATATTTTTGGGACAAAGGTCACAAGAGGTCAAAAGACAGGTCAAGTTATAACAGAAAAATCAATATTGATGTTTATTTTGTTGATTTTCAAATTAAAAATCATATACTGCACAATTGCTTTCCACGAAAATTCAGAATTTAGTTGAAAACCAAGAAAATTCAAAGTAGGTCAATTTGAAAGGTCAAAGGTCATAGTACGGGTCATCTCATTGCCACAGAAAATGTGCCACATTTTCTGTAGTGTACTACCCATGTCATTTCCGAAATAAAAGTAAGTGGTATTTATACAAAAAAATGTGATATTTCAATGTGAATAAAAATGTTGAAAACATCATGAAACTTGTCGTACCTTTGGGCGCATAGTTTTGGGCGTTGTGGAAAGCATGGTCTCTAAAGGGTTAAACTGCCAGGGCGCAACTGTTATTTCAGAAACAAATTAATTCTGAGAAACCATTCATTCTTATTACAGACATCTGCCATGCATGAATATATAGACTGATATGTACTTTTACTCTTTTAAGTATAAAAAAAGAAATTTAAAGCTCACTAATACCAGTGTAGGCAAAAAGGTTTTATGTTAGCCTGGTAACAAGAAAAATTACAGAAATGTGAAATTCAATGTGCAGAAAGTATTGCTAAAATAAGCGTAATTCACAAAATAATTTACTTACAATGAAACAGCAACGCTTTGCTTTGCAGCTGAGGAAGAAGTGCCAATCTACTTACCAATTTGTTCCACAAATTCAGGAGGGAATACTCTTGAAGCAAATGCTCTTCTGAAGATGTCAGAAAATTCCTGTTAAATGAGAAACCATTCGATAGAATGTACAATCTCTGCAATTTCAACCCAGTATCAAATCGCTTAGTAATGGTGGCAGTATAGAGTGAACACAAACAAGTCCTTTAAACAAAATCTTTTAATAGAAGATGAAGAAGTTGAGTTTGAAAACATCTCTAAATCAACATAATTGAAAGCACAAATTCGTGTCTGACATTCGTGAAGATAGTAAAAATGACTCTTCAGTCACTTCAAAGTATGATGATTTATATAGGTTCATGGAGAGGCATCTACAGTATGAAGAAGTATAAACAACCTTATTCATATTTAGTATTCCTTATAGCTTTGTACATAAGTAAGGCAAAGGGGAGTACTGCAGTGCTAAAAATGCTTGCAGACAAGTAATTTTACTATTTCTACGACGCTGTTTATTATTGTTCTGTATGAAACATACAAGGTGTGGCAAAAAAGAAACAAGACTGCAGCTGCTGATTACATGACTCAGCAGCCTCACAAAAATGAGGTGAAATCTTGACAGCCATCAACACAAATGATAACATCCAGTGCATTGATGAGTTTTTGCAGATGGATTGCAGATTGATGAACAAATAACTGCCAAGGAAATGGTATTCAATTAAGAGTAAGCGAGGACTATCTTGGTAAAAAAACTTGGGCATACAGAAGGTGTGCAAAAAGATGGTGCCCAAGTTGCTCTCTGGGAACCACAACACCCACTGCATGGACTTGTTCCACATTTTGTAGCAGCTGAATGACATCCCGGAATTTCTGAACAGTCATCAGTGAAGATAGGACCTCGGTCTTCTAGACAAGTAGGTTGTAACTCTGAAACCTCCCCTGCAATCACCAGATTTGGCACACTGTGATGTCTGGCTCTTTCCAAAGGTGAAAAGTACCCTCAAAGGACGGTACTTTTGAGACTGTAGAGAACATCAAGACGTGTGTGACCAGCTTGCTGAAGGCCATCAGGAAGAACTTTGATGGGTGGTTCATGGCATGGAAGACAAGAATGCTGAAGGGTATTGACTACAGGGGGAACATTTTCAAGGAGAGAATATGTAGTACCTTGTTTGACCAATGGTCATACCAATACAGTCTTTCTTTTGCCACACCTCACATACTGTAATGGTATTTTTACACATGGTTCATGCACACAGATTTTCTAACACTGACAGGAAATCTATCCAGACGTTTTTAAACAATTTCTATACCATACTGTGACACTATGAAAAAAATTACATCCAAAACTACTGGACATCCTCTTAATACCAGCATTAACATCAACACAGCAAAGATCCCTGTATATAACAATATCAAACAAAATTTTATGGATCTCAGTGCTGTGGTGATGTTGTAAAAAAAAACAGAAACATTCATGTTGGTTTGTCATACGAGTACTTACCTTATCCAAACCACCAATTCCCATGTTTTTGAAATCCCAGTCAGGATTGATTATAGATTGTCTTCCTGCAGCTCTTCTGTTCACATTATAGGCAGAAAAAAGTGCTAATATTTAATTATATCATTTAACCTTTTAAGTCCTAGCAAAAATTACAGTTACTCTGTATGGCAAAATCAATATATTAGAGGTAGTTGACAACAAAATCACAATGGATAAACTGCAGGATAAGTACCTTCAGTCTCTTTCAGATCTACATAATAGGTTTTTCATAACACTTTTCCTCTGATAAATTTTTGTACAGTCACTTGTATATGTATCTGCAAATATGTGCCGAGTAACATATAATTGCTATTTAACCTGCATGTACCTGGACTTGTGATTTAATTGGTTGAGAACAACTGTGTGTCTATAAACCTACACCATTAGCCTCATATAAAACATACATTTATTTATATCCCTGGACAGGACTATGTTGACTTTACCAGTCAAATTGTAAAGTAGGTTTCCTTAAATGTACCGATATAATAGTTTGGTTTAAAAAAGGATTGCTTCACTGAAGTCTTTCTGACAAATAATTCACTTGGGGAAATGTATTTGGAACCAAAGCCAACAACTCACTTGAAAATCTATAAATTGATCCACGTGAAAAGTACATGCAACACAAGTCATTTCTTTCTTTTTGGTATTTGTTTTACAGAATAAAGTTCTAAGAAATGTTTGCAAGGCATAAATGTAGTCCATTACTAAAGTACCTACCCCACTGATTTGCCTATTAGATTTATAGAGGAGCCTTCTGCCTTTTCAAATAGAACCTGGGTGTTGGCCATGCTGATACCAAGATTAATCTATAATCAAATCAAGCAAGTGAAAACACATTATACAACAGCAAAAGTAATCCAATATGTGTAAAGCATCCAACAGCAATGCCTACTGTAATTAATGCGCCAATTACGTGAGACTATACAGCCTCAAGCTTTCAGGGAGAATCTGTGAATAAGTAATTTACGCATTTTAAGATGTACATGTAAAACCATTTTTTCTGTATTTCTCACTTCTAAATGTTTTAAACCATCCTATACAGCATGAGAAAACAGATGTACTGATTTAAGGTATGTGTAACAAATACATGCTATAGAAAGGCGAAGAAACAAGCTAAATATCACAACATCGCATACGCATACACCATGTACATGCCACATGTAAACTATGCATGCAAATAATGCATGGCAGACTCATTAAACCCTTTAGTAAAATATTTTTTTTGCTCAGACCTACAAATTGATAGTATACATGTACATGTATATGCATGACATACATTTCTGGTAAATGTTGGAACCCAATGTTTTCTGGGGGACGGAAATAGTCTGACTGGAATTACATGCAATAAAATCAAGTGTGATAACTGCTCCTTCCACAATAACACCTAGGAACACAACGAATGAATACTACACCTAGGAACACAACGAATGAATACTACACCTAGGAACACAACGAATGAATACTACACCTAGGAACACAACGAATGAAT